TCCAGGCAGTCATGAGTCTTCTCCATGCTGCTCCTGGGCTCTGAACTCATGACAGTGCCTGTAGCACTTAGTCACATTTCCACAGAAATTTTGACTGTCTCCCCTGCTAGACTGAAAGCCCTCTGCCTGCCTTCTGGGACTGTAGCTTAACTGGGTCTCGTTTCCTAGAGCCATGGATGCACATGACATACAATAAATATTTGTTGGCTGTTTGCATTTAGGGAAACTTTAGGGATGTGTTTTAGTCCCCAAGGCTTCTCAAAATGTTGAATTTCCAGGTCGAGGTGCAGAGGGAAGAGGGAAAAGTGGCTTCTAGGCTTCTTGTTCATTTACAACACTGTAAAGAACTTGATCATTGAAAAATTAACTGCATCATGTAAATCAGATCTTACTGAGCATTGCATCTTACCCAAAAGAAAAAAATGGTCTAACAGGAAGTATTTCTTGAGTAGATGTGTCACTACGTCTGCATTCACAAACAGCACACAGCTGGGGAGACATTCAAAGCTAGAGAGTCTACTCCCTTTTCCAACAAATAGATAAATAAATAATAGATGACTAATGTATACATACATAAATCATAAGTGATAATAGAAAAATTATAAATGCAGGCAAATTATAAAACATTTAGATAAAAGGGGAAGGAAGAAAGGGAGGGAGGGGAGGAAGAGAGGGAGGGAGGAAAGTTAGTTGGAATGTTCAGACTTACTGATAAGTGAAGTTGGCCTTAGACACATGAATTAGTTGTGTATTTTTGGAGAAGAAAAAATGGTATTCCAGGGCACCCTGGTCTGAGCTAAGCCATGGGCTCTGTTCTATTTGTCCAAATTAGGTCGAAAGTTTCCACTAACCGTTTGCATTACCTTGGCAAGCTTCGCCTCTTTGCGCTTCAGTTTGCGTATCTGTACAAAATACTTAATAATGTGGAGGCTTAGGGTATGGACTGTGATCAAATGGCATCTGTTTCTTATTAGCAATGCAACAGTGATTGTGCTACTTATCTATTCTTGGCCTCAGCTTCCTCACACATAAAATGCGGATCACAATAGTTCTACATTATTTAAAGTTTTTGTGAGGATTAAATGAGCTAATATACGTAAAGCATTTACAACAGGGATGGATGTAGGTGCTTCATAAATGTTAGCTATTATAATTCACACAAAATGCAAAAACAGTGAGAAACTTTCATGTGCTCCATAAATATATGAGATCACTGAGGTCAGAAGATGAAGGAAACTGACAAATTGAGCTATGTGCCTGCAAGATGAAAAATAGACATCTTTTCTGGTTGATATTAGCACATGCTTCTCTAGTCCAAGGTAAATCTGTCATTATCCCCCAATGATGGCAATGCTACCATTTATTGAGTTCTTCCTAGATACAGACACTGTGCTAAGAAATAACTCATTCTATTTTCATATACACAAAGAAATTTCCATGACATGAAGACTCGCATTATCCCCATTTTACAGATAGGGAAACTGACACTCTGAGAGGTTAAATGACTTTCCAAGAAAGGGAAAGTGGCAGGAGTCTAAGGAGTCTAAACTCCAGGCTGTGTTCTTGAGTCTTTTTTTTTTTTTTTTTTTTTTAATATAAGAACATAAGTACTCGGCTGATCTTTCAGAGATACAAATGTTTCTATTTAGGAGACAATTCTACTTTCGTAGTTCCCTTAAAAAATTATATTCTAATTTTCTAGGTATGAAGAAACAAGGACCATTGTGTCATCTTTGAGGGTCTGTCCCAAAAATGACTCAAGCCCGAAGCAAGCTGGGATTTCAGGAGGGGACGTTCCTCTAGGCACTCCCACGGGGACCAGCATGCGTTTCTTCCAGAATGATTGTGATAACAGCTTGGAAGGGGGAACATGCCTGGTCAGGGCTCCAGCCTTCCTGATCCTGTGTCAGTGGTGGATATCTGTGCGTTTGCCTACATACTATTTAGTCCTCTTTCTGGTAACACCTCTGAGATTTTTCTCTGGAGAACTTCTCTCCTGCCTTCCACCTTGCTCCCTGATTTTGTGGTTTGGGTAGAACTGACCATATCACCTCAGTTCCAAAGGTGGGTCATGAAATCCAAGCCTGACTTAACTGCACATTTCATTCTGCTGGTCACAGAGGCTAACAGATGGGCATGTAACCTATAACTCAAGCCAGACCTCTAAAGAGCACTCTGGGGATGTGTGCTGCACCTATTAAAAAAGAGACTTTCCCTTTCTGTTGGGTTTTAAATCCAACAAGGCATATATATACATATATATATGCAATTTCTAGAGCTGATTTCTCCCACCAGAAAGAGAGGGCCTGCCTGAGAATGAAGCCAAGAGAGACAAAAAGCAGAGACAGAGACACAGGTTTATGTCTTTCTTTTTTTTTTTTTTGAGTTGGAGTCTCACTCTGTCACCCAGACTGGAGTACAATGGCCGCTCCTGGCCACTGCAGCCTCGACTTGCTGGGCTCCAGTGATTCTTCCACCTCAGTCTTCCAAGTAGCCAAAACTACAGGCTTGCGTACCATGCCTGGCTAATTTTTTTGATTTATTGTAGAGATGAGGTCTCACCAAGTTGCCCAAGTGGGTCTCGAATCCACAGGTTCAGGCAATTCACTCACCTCGGCCTCCCAAAGCGCAGGATTACAGGCTGAGCCACCGAGCCCGGCCTCTTATGTCATTTTTTAGCATCTGGATACAACCTTGCCTGAAGCCATACTTCTGGGTTCTTTCAGTTATCTGAGTCAGTGAATTCTCTTTTTCCTTAGGAAGTTTGAGTCGGATTTCTTTAATAATCTTAAACAATAAGTATCTTTTGGATACACAAAGTTTATGATACATATTTATGAATGTCTGCGTACTAGGAGCTGGAAACATAGAGATAAATTGCACACTATACTTATCCTCATTCCCTGATGGTGGAATCGCTCATATGAAGAGGTAGTTCTATACAGTGGGGCAAATGCTATAATAGGAAGTCTTAGAAAGATCCACAAAGTAGGGTCAAGAATTTGAAGGGTGCTTTTTATCCTGAGCCTGTTCTAGAAGGGAGGAGGGATATCTGGGGATGTGATGAAAAACCACAGAAGTGTGGACAAGCAGGCAACCACGAGCAGCTGAGTGTATCTCAAACGTAGGGTGAGAAGCAAATGACCACTGCTGCATCTCCCAATGCCTCATGTCATCTAGCACAACTGGAGACGTTATTGATCAGCTGGCAAACAGTGAAGGTACCTACATGCAGTGTATGAGGTGGCGACCACCTCAACTTGAGATGAGTGAACACGGACTCAGGGATGACCAGAAACATACTAGTGTGGCTCAGCACAAAAGGTACACTGCAGCCTTGGAGTCCCCTTGTCAAAAAATTATTAAGAACTACAAGCCGATGATCCCAGACTAGCCAACCGAAGATGGGCCCTTCAGAGCATGAGGTCTTATACAACTGCACAGGTCTCATAACCACAGGAGCTGGCCCGGACATAAGAGCTGAGGATGAACAGGCCTTTGGCCCATGTTGTGGCCTGGGCCTAGTTCCCACCAGTCCTTTAGTCATCTCAAAAACCAGTCTCCTCCCTGTGGGATACAAACAGGGAGAATCAAAGGAGGGCTGGCCCCAGTTGAGAAAGTTCTTTGATGCTGTGTTGCTCAGATGATTTTCTACCATAGCAGAGATTCACAGTGTCAACTTCCTTCTGCCTTGACAAACATCCCCCCTCTCCACCAGCCCCTAAAGCTGACCCAGGAACACTGTAGGAAACTGTGTTTATTAAGTCACATGGCTGGGCACTAAGGTACCCAGGCAGTAGGAGGATCACTTTTGAGAAGATGGACAGGTGAGGGATGGAGGCTGTCAGGGATAGGAGTCAGCTTTCAGATGTGCATGAGATAGAAATTCCCAGACTATATCCAATAACACAATTATTAGGATATAAATGTGTAACATCTTCCCCCTTTTCCTTCCACTTCAGAGAATTCTGCTTTTGCCTTTTTAACATCTTCCCTTATTCCACTCTCTAGAGATATTTCTGTCTTTGCCAGTCAATGCCTGGCTTTTTTAAAATATAAATCAAGGCTGATAGGTAGAAAGAGATAAAACTGGAAGCCAGTATAAGATGAAGGGCATCTCATGGAAAGGAGCTAGAACAAATACAAAAAGTCAAAGAAAAGGGGAGAAGAAGGAAAGAGAAGAGCCAAGAAGATGCTGCGTTAAAGGAAACGATGAATAGAATTTGAGGATAAGGTTCTGCGAAAGGAATAGGGAAACCACAGCATGAGAGAGAGCTCAAAAGTCAAAGGAATGGAGAAAGGAACTCTTAGGAAACACCGTGAGTGTTATGATTTGGATTTCACTTTAGTAGCATGATGCTAGAGATCTCACAATAAAGGCTGAAACGGCTTGTGATCACTTTTATCTTATGATGTGCTGGGTCATATGGGATCCAAGTTATACTTGGGTTACACTGACAGTCCATGAGATGTTAACAGGTATTATACATACATACATATACAGACATACCAAATGTACACCATATGGTTCTGTGGACAAACGTTGTATCCTAAATCCTCTTAGAAAAATCACATTAGCATATTAAAAGCTCTGAGAAGCCCTGCAGCACAGAAGCCTACCCAGTTGTTTAATCCAGTGCTTCCTAAACTTATTTTACTGTATGTCACAGAATGAATTTTATGATTTTTTAAATATGTTTTTTAAAATATATAATTTTTAAAATGATTTCCTAGGCTCTCCTCTCTCAAGAGTTTAGGGAAGGCTTCACAGAAAGGTATGATTTTTTAACTGAGATTTGAAGACTAGAGAAAGTGGGGAGGACTTTTTGAATAGCTTCAAGATGGGTGAGGAGCTCTTTCCTGGGGTTAAAGGTAGGAAGAAAGATATGTTAACATTTTAACTTTTCACCAAGGAGAAACAATTCCTACTTTATCTCTACCAGTGATCATTCAGGTGACTTCCAGGTAAGGGGGCTTTTGGAAGCAAGGGGGCAGCTCACCTATTCTGAACCATGCTCATAGCCATCCAGTCTCCAGGATACACATTCTTCCCAATGAGGTCCTTGAACATGATGAAGGTCTCCATTAAGAAGTCCTGAAACAGCAAAGCATGACACGAATGGCATCCTATTTCATAGGAACTGCCTGGAGGTGCTGAGATCTCATGGGCCCTTTACATTTTTTTTTTCTTTATTATTTTTTGAAGGGAGAGAAAGGAAAGGGGCACAGCCTCTCACAAAATAAATTCAATGAAACCCACAGCAGTGGGTTTTAAGTGGAAACGTGCAAGTTGGCCACCGGAAGACTATTCCATGAATATCAGTGCAACGAGAATATGGGCTGTGACAACGCTTTCAAAATCAGCACTATTAATTCTGTCTTGGGAATAAAAAAGTAAACGTACTCACTGATGTGGCAATTTTATAATCATCTTCCCAAATATGTATTTGAGAAATATCTACACTCTATGAAAGCATCTCAGGTCATTGAGCAAACAAACTATTATTAAAATGAACATTTAATTGGCAGCGTTGTAAACACAGCTAATTCAAACATTACACACACGCACTTGAGCGAATGAGAGGAAACACCATGGCGGGGACTCTTCCTCTCTTTGAAGAGGTTCAAAGTAGAATTCAACACACGTCTTTAGATTTTGCAGTGGGCCATACTGTTCTCTATCTTTGGAGAACACAAATTAAAGACATGTCCAGAGAACTAATACTGGAACCACTGGCACTGGGACCTTCTTGAGCTGGGGTAATGAAGCCATACACCAGTATACTTTAGGCAAAATATAAAATCCAGAGGAAACCCATTCAGAGTTCTTTCTTTAAGCCAGTGGTTTTAACAGCAGAATTCTTTGTTCAAAGAAAGTATCCCCTGAAACCCAATATATAAAATGCTTAAAAGTAGGCCAGGCATGGTGGTTCATGCCTGTAATCCCAGCACTTTGGGAGGCTGAGGTGGGAGGATTGCTTGAGCCCAGGAGTTTGAGACCAACCTAAGCAACATAGGAAGACCTTGTCTCTACAAAAAAATTTAAAAATTAGCCAGTTGTGGTAGCCCACACCTGTAGTCTCAGTCACTCAGTAGGCTGAGATAGGAGGATTTCCTGAGCCCAGGAAGTTAAGGGTGCAATGAGCTGTAATCATGCCACTGCACTTCAGCCTGGACAACCAATTGAGACTCTGATTCAAAAAACCAAACCAAACCAAAACCCAAACCAAAACAAAGCATAAAAGTAGAACAGCTCTGGTTGAATTTTGTGTGTGTGTATGTGTGTGTGTGTGTGTGTGCATGTGAATGGTGGAGGAGAGTAAAACTAGGATGAACATAATTTAAAAATCACTGCTTTAAGCTAAACTGCAAAATTCCGGAAATGGCATTTGTTCCTTTCCAGTAATCTTTGTTTCCAGGGAAAATTACTTCCATCCTTAAAGTCCCAGTTTCCATATCAGCAGAATGGGGATAATATCTACTTCCAAGGGTTCCTGTGAGGGTTAAGTGCCTACTGTCTACAAGATACTCCACACAGAGCCGGGGCTCTTGTAAATGCTCAACACGTGCGTAATGATGATGATGGTGAGTATTATTATTCAACCTCAATGGGGAAGTGTGGATGTCACACAGGCACACCCCCTTCCTACAGGAATGGAGAGGGCTTCGAAGTCATAGATGGAAAACATGGCTTCTGGAAGGGTAGCATGGCGTAAGGGACAGAGTCGAGGTTCAGATCCCAACTCTGTCACACACTAGCTTATGGGGCCTTGAGCAAGCAGATTGTAGATTCACAGTGCAACTCCTAACACCTATGTTATACTGTTGTGAGGATTAGATAAGGAAGGTATATGTTCAATAAGAATTCCCTTTCGGTTTTCCTTCCCCAGAAACCTTCCTTCCATAGGGGATCAAAAATCAGGATTCTTATTTTTCTATTTCTGTGTCCCAAGCCAGAAAGGATTTGGAAGCTGGGGAAAAGGTTTCATCTCTTGCCAATCCTACTCCAATGTGGGGAGTGTCTCACTGTTGAATGGACGAAGGAGTAGGGCACTGGATTTCTAATGATTCCTTTTTTAATAGGCTATGCCCTGAGGTGTGTCCAGTGCTTGGTACCTTTAGTCTCTCCAGGAGAATTGAGAGTGACCCTGGGCAGCAGGACTCCTGATCCTGGAAGTAGTAAGGAGATCGTGACAAAGGTCACTGAGGGCAAAGAGTGCTCTGCTATACCCCAGGACAGGCACACGGGCTGGTTTCCATGTTCATGAAGTAATTCATTGCGGAGATATGAGCCCAGGCCACAGGCAGATAGTCCTGCAGTAGATATGTCCTGAGAAGCTAGAAGAAACAGGCTCAGAGGCCAATTTTCTGTATGCCCCTGTGATCTTAATAGTAGCTACTGTGCTCTCACATAAACTCTTCTCAACTTTGTAACATAAATGATACTATTCCCACTTTACAAATGGAGAAATTGAGTCTTAAGAGAGATTAGGTTGCCCGTGGTCACATAGCTAGCCAGTGACAAATCCTAGCTGCATACCTAAGACTGTATGACTCTGACAGTCATGCTCTTAAACCCCAAGACATTCATGATTCATCAACAAATATTGGTTAAGCCACATCTAGACTATGTGTCAGACATTCAGGTCTCGACTCTGACGTAGACTGAAGACACATGACAGAGGTGAGAAACACTAGAGATAGGGAATCAGAAGTGCACATCTGTAAAGAAACGAAAACTATTCCCCTGAGGTCTGTGGGGAGACCTTCTTGCCTTACACTCCTGAGACTCAAAAGCTCTTTCTCACCCCAAGCATCCTGCAGACTCACCACAAGTTCAGAGCTGGTCTGGAAGGTCTCAATATAGAAGGAATAGTGCTGGTCGCCCATCTGATTCAAGATGGCGGTCATACACGCCACAAAATGACTCTAAAAGAAACAAAGAAAAATTCCATGAAATAGTGGAGAGAGGATCATGGGATTCATCTTCTCTATTTCCTTCACGCCAAACTGGAAGACACACAACCATCCCAGGCAAAGGTAAAAAGGTCCTCCAAGAATGGAGAAGCACTCCAATCAGGACAACACGAGACACTTCCCTGTGAGGAGGTGACTCCTCATGGTTCATTCATCAAAAAGCACTTATTGGACACTGTGTGTGCCTGGGACTGTCATTGGAGTTTCAGAAATAAAAACAAGACTGGTCTATTACCTACCTGCTGCTTGTACACTGAGAAAAGAGCACTGTATGAGTGTCCAGAGTGATGGCCTCAATCAAGGTCCTGGAGAGAGTTTCATTTTCTGATGAATGATTTTTACATATGTAAGTCCCAGTTGTCTCATCTATCAAGTGGGACAATAATCCCTTCGTATCTACCTCCAGAGGAGTATCAAAAGAAGCCGGTGGTTCCTGTTGTACCTTGAAATGAACTAAGTGTCTCTGAGGAGGGATCCGTTGTTGGATCACCATGGACCAGCCAGCGAGAATCCAGCACCTACTGGAGCCTCGCCCTTGGTAAGGGCTGTGAAGTATGAAGGAAATGAGAAGCGATGGCCCTTGCTGTTTATGAGTTTGTCATCTAGCTGAAAATGCAAGATGAACATCCTTGAGAGAAAAAGCCAAAGACACTTAATCTGCAAAGCAGAAAAAGTGGCAGAAGGATTCAAATAAGAGGGAAATCAAGGCAGGGACTTGAAGAGGAGTCCCTGGGAGCAGAGGGAAAGACACACCATTTTATGTGCCAAAATTTTCAGCACAGCTTTTGTTCCTCCAAGGTTTTATGAGTCTATATGAGGGTAAGTTTTCTGTCTGTGCTAGTGTCTGCAAGTAGCTTTAAGGGAGATCTATTCTGGAACCTGGTAAAGGAAGCCTGACCACGAATCCACCAGGGGTGGAAAGTCATTGAGAGTCTTGCAAGATTCCACTGGGGCTGCCATCTTGGTCAAAGGAAGTTCCATTGTGTCCCAGTCCAGCGAAGGCTTGGGAAGATGGGCTGGCTGGAAGTATCGTGTTTGAATTAAAAAAAAAGGGGGGGTGTATTTCAAACCACTGCCTTTTGGTTAAAAATATATAGCCATTATGAAATATATACAGGCATACCTCAGAGATATTTTAGATTTAGCTTTAGACAACCACAATAGAGTAAATATTGCAATAAAAGTAGTCACACAAACTTTTGGGTTTTCCAGTGCATATAAAAGTTAGGTTTACACTAATCCTAGAAGTCTGTTAGATGTACAATAGCATTATGTTTAGAAATAATGTACATTAATTTAAAATACTATATGGCTAAAAAATACTGTATGGTTAAAAAATGCTAACAATCATTTAAGCCTTCAGTGAATTGTAATCTTTCTGCTGGTAGAGGGACTAGTTCAATGTTGATGGCTGTTTACTGATCAGGCTAGTGTTCGCTGATGTCTGTGGTGGCTGTGGAAATTTCTTAAAATAAGACAACAGTGAAGTTTGCCACAGTGAAGTTTGTGGTACCCCAAAATAATTACAATGGTAACATCAAAGATCCCTGATCATAGTTGACCATAACACATATATTAAGAAAGACAAAGTTTGAAATATTGCTCAGATTTCCAAAACGCGATGTGGGTGGGGGCATGAAGTAAGCACCACGCTGTTGGGAAAATGGCACTGACACACTAGCTCCATGAAGGATTGCCACAAACTTTCCATTTGTAAAAAATGCAGTGTCTGCAAAGCTCAATAAAACAAAGTATGCCTGTGTGTATATAAGAGGGGAGACCCTAAAAAAACCCAGAATCATCTTTTGGAAGGTGGGCTTCTTGTAGTAAACTCAGAATTTGTTCCTCTGGAACAAATGGTCAACTAAAATTTTTATCAGGAGGTTTTTGGAAGGTTGCATCACGATTTGTGGAAGAAATGTCCAGAGTTGTGGCAAACAAGTGACTGGCTCTTTCACCATGACATTGTACCTGCCCACACTGCGCTGTGTTCAGCAGTTCTGACCCCCAATGGCATGACCTCCATACCCTACCCTCCCTATTCACCTGATCTCGCCCCAAGCAACTTTGTTTTTGTTTCCCCAGATTAGAAAAAGTCCTGAAAGGGAAACGTTTTGCCAGTGTGGAAGAGGTGAAACAAAAAACGACAGAAGCACTAAAAGGCATCCAAATCGACAAATTCAAAATCTGTTTTATTTGTGAAAAAAGCATTTCAGTAGGTGTATTGTCACACAGAGAGTACTTTAAATGTGACTGAAGTTTAAACATGTAAGAATAAATACACAGTTTTTAATAAATTCCGTTTTCTGGGGGTCCCCCTGGAGTATCTCCCCAAATTTCCAGTTTAGTTGCAGTGGTAGAGGAACAGCCTTGACCACCCCAGGAAGCTCCTTCTGAATTCTTCCCAGGAAGCCTTTGGGAAAGTGCATGTTCCTCAAACTCACATTCCCAAAAGCAGCTTCCAAAGATGTGGATTCTCATGTGCTTCCAGGTCCTTTCCAATTATGAAGTTAGGGATAGCATGTTTCCCTGTCAGCAGGACAAGCTATGTAATTTGTAGGGGAACCAGAGCAAAGTAAAAACGCAGGGCCCTTGTTTAAACTTACTCAGAATTTTTAAACAGCCAAGGGTCCTTTTAAGCAAGGGGCCTACACAATGTCACAGGTCATGTGCCCGGGGAAGATGACCCTACTGGCCTGTGACCAGCACACTCACGCACCATAAATGTTTAGAAAACGTGCAACTCTGGCAGAGAGGGCAAAGCCAGGAATCTCAGGAGCAATGGCTGATGACGCCCTCTTGATGGGGAACTGCAGCCTCTACACTGGGTGGCACCTCCTTGAAGATCTAAAGTAGATCCTCTCTCAGGGTCAGGTCCTCAAGAGGTGGTAATGAGTGTGTGAAATTATCCACACTTTTCAAGTCAGACAGAACACCACCATCACTGCTAACTTAACCAGGTCCCACTTAAACCAAGAAATGAGCATTATTATCGTTTATACCTCCAGCCAGACCAAGGCAAGAAAGAAGAAATCTCAGAGTTTAGGGGGCACGGGGTGGGGGGGTTGTGCCTGCGCACGTGTGATATGTGTGTGTATGTGTGTACGTACACACAAGTGTGCGTTTCCTCCACTCCCTCTGGCTCTTCCCTCCCTTCCTTGAGGAATTCAGCCTGTGGCCACTAGAGGGCTTTTCTTTTCACATGGTAGCTGCCGTGCAGTTTGTTCGGTTTTTTATTTATTCCTACGTGAGCAGACCCACTACACTTCTTGCATATAAACAGTGAAAATTACAATATAAAGGACTTATTATTCCTTCTTTTGGAGTAATCCTGCTGCTGGTCAAAGCCTGGCTCGTCGTGCAAGGGAAAGGAGACATTCTCTGCAGGTAATTCCACTGCTTCAAGGTAAGAGATGTGGGTAGGTTTTATTTTTCATGATCGATGTTCCTCTAAGAGAAAATGCAGTCGTCTCTTTGACAACAGTTTACTTTTAAAGCTTTGGTTTCAATGAGTACTGGAATTGTGAGCTTATATGTGTGTGCGTGGTGGTGTGTAGTAGAAAATCCACCATTGTCAGAACTGCAGGCTGCCCCAAATGCACAGATATGGAATGCTTGCTATTTCCAATGGCTTGATTTGATTTTGAAGGGGGGAAAAAAGCAAACAACAAACCTTGGGTCTCAAGTTGCCTGGGATTACCTTGAAAAGGCTGCATTGTCTTAAGCTTCCTTTAGAAAAACTTCCATTCTTGGTTTCACAAGAAAAAAGTAAGGGAGGGGGATTCTAGTCCTCAGCTAGAGAGAGTGACCATTTTATGAAAGAAACCATTATCTTTTTATTAGGAGTTGGTCAGCGGGTTATAGTTCACTAATCAATCACAATTACTTTTATCAGCTCGTTAATTTCTTCGTCCTAACTACCACGGAGAAAAATTCAGTAAGGTGCCTTGAAGTGATCTGTAGTGCAATGTGAATGAAGTTTGGGCAAGTTACCTGCATTTGGCTGCTAAAGAAAAATGACAATGTTTACTTCCAATAGGAAACACCTTTTTTTCTACCATGGTGTATCTAGTCCACTTTTGTATCAGATCTGTAGGGAGTCACCCCGATGTGACTGATTATTACCAGAAATAAAGTGAGGCACCAGCAGCAGGTTCACATTCAGAAAAGGTTCTTCTCTGTCATTTGAATTTTAAAAACCACCTCTTTGGCATACAAGGAGAGACTGCTGGAATAGCATTAGGCTCCCCTGACATCTGTCCCTTTTTCAGTGGTACCCTGAAATGGCATTTGTGTCCTACTCCCTCCCTCTGTACAAGTTTGAGACCTTGCATCCACATCCACCATGTCTTAACATTTTTAGGAGATTCAAGAATTGAGGCTGGGAGGGGGGTGACGATCAGGGTGCATTTTCCCTGGCAACTCAGACAGCCCTCACATTGACATTGTTCAAACTTTACAGTGTAGGAACTCAAACTCCCAGTCCTGTCGGCAGCCTGGAGAAGCCTGAATACTTCTTGGGGGACAGAGGGGTGGAGGGATCCCCTGTGGTCTGGGCTAGTGAGAATCCCATTGCTTGCATCCCTGGCAACAATTCTGTAATCGACATCTATTTACTCCCTAGGCATGAGGCAACCAGTCACCCATACCCAAGCAGCATGCCAGGTGCCTGGACGGGAAATTGCTTCTTAAAACAGAATACCAGGGAGACTTGAATATTAAATTCCAGAGAGAAATTGTATCTGAGACTCTGGCGCAAACCAGCCGGTGTCACCTCGCTCCAAAAGGGGTGGCTTAAAATGTGGCTAATGAATCACAGCGTGAAGAGACACGGTTTGAAACTAGGTCAAACGTGTAAAAATAAGTACAACCATCGCAGGCACTTGGCTGATGAGGGGGTACTTAACACCTGGAGTGGCAGGGCTTATTTGTTGTATACATCCCTC